CCCGCGGCAGGATGTCAGGTGCTGTCGCGCATTCTCTCACTCGGTCAAGTCAATCAGTCAGTCCGTCCTGCATGTCATGTCAGCCCTCGTCGGCCGCACTGCCCTGAGCGGCCTCGTCTTCGTCGCTGAAGGCGTCAGGGCAGTTGGCCTTGAGCATGTCAAACGTCTCCGCGCACTTGTGGCGCAACACATCAACCGCACGCTGCACTCGCTCATCGACAGACAGAGAACATATGGCATCACACACACACACACACAAAAGCCCGCATTTAAATATGGGTGTAGCGTAGGCCTCGTCTCCCTCCTGGTCGATGTGTGTGTCTGTGTGGTGTGTGTGTTTGCCTGCACACCTCGAAGAGCTGGTCTGCGGGGATGCAGCCGGTCGACTCGATGTTGACTGACTCACACACATCACACGCACCCCACAGAGAGAGAGAGAGAGATCACCATTAATGCTTGACATTACAGAGTCGGTGGGTGATTCCTTCTTCTCTGTCTGCTCACAGACTCACAGATGAAGTGGTTTTTGATTTTGTTGACTTGGACTCTGCCGGGGAACCTCTCCATACACACCCGGCAGGTGGTGCACTGACGCACATTCGTCACCACCGACTCAACACCCGTCGCTGCAGGCAGGAAGTGGACAGCCAGCACACACACACACACACACCCACACACCCACACACACAAATGGCCGATCTGTGAGTACAGCTCTCTCTGTGTGTGTGACCCACGTGTGTCTTCGATGTCGAAGCAGTTCATGGGGCAGAGGTCTTTGAGCTCCTGCGCCTCAGCGTCAACCAACGGGCCCTTCGGGAACACTGATTACCCACCATTGACAGACACCCACACAGGCAGACAGACAGACAAACAAACAAGTGCGTAGTGATGCTCGTGTGTGCGATGGACAGACACCATCTCGCTGACTAACCGAGTTCCGGGAAGAGTCTGTAGACGGCTGTTGCAACAGGCGACCACTTGGCATGGTCCTTACCCACGCCCTTCTCACAATACGCCTCCAGCTCGATCTCCTGCAGACACACACACTCGCACATGGACACACCGAAGGCATCCCTTCTCATCCACCCCACCGTTCCACCCCACCCACTTTGGTGCCCCATGCACCTGCCCAGCGCCGAGTTTGGTGATGAGTATGTCGGGGTAGACGGGAGCGGGCGGCGGATACACCTCACCGTCGTATAGCTCCACTGCCTGCTCATCGGTGGCTCCTGCTGCTGACGCTGCTGACGCTGCCGCTGCTGCTGCAGGTGTGTGCCTGGATGGTTGTGGCGGTGGGAACTTTTGCCTCTGCAGGTCGCTCAGGGGCTCGTAGACAAAATCACGACTGTACACTGAAGAAATGACAGACAGACAGACAGACAGACAGGGAGGGAGTGAACAGGGCATTTGTGGATGGATGTCTTTGACAAAAGGGTTGGCTGGGTTCGGTTGTTTGTGAGTCTGACTGACTGACCGACCTGATCTGACGCCCTGGTCGCACTTGACGTGCAGCTTGAACTTGACCGAATTCTCAGCACTGTGCTCCTCATTCTCTGACGCACACACAAAGATATATGCCCACCCACATGCATGAAGCCGCACACACCACACCACAAACAGTTAGTTGTTCATGTGCGTGAGTGAGTGAGCGTCTTTGCACCTCTTCGGTATTCGAAGTGCTGCGGGTCCAGCCTGATGGGAATCAGACCCAGGCGATGAACCAACACCTCATCGCACAACACACCTGCACACCACCAGCACACCCACAAGCTCAGGCCACGAAAGCATCGCCTCTCGAGATCCCCTCCCTGTGCCGCGTGTGTGTGTCTGAACGCACCTGTGTTTTGGTAGACTTGTATGGTGTGGAGAGCCATGGTGGGCACCTCGGCAATGAGGATCCGCCTGAATGCGTTGGCCAGGGCCGCGTCGATGCCCCTCATCTCGAACCGAACCAGCTCGTCGGTGCGGGTCAGCATCCGCACCTCAAGCTCATCCTTGAAGCCCTCCAGCGAAAAGGCATCGTCATGATGCATCGACGAAAAGGTGCCTGAACGGGAGGAGAGGAACAAACAGGAGTGCCATGGTTGGACTGGACGGACGGACCATCTTTTTATGCATGGTCTTGCAGTCAGTCATTCTGACGGCCAGACAGACCTACCGGCGTATTCATAGCTTTCTGTGTATCTGGGTCCCTCCACGCCGCAGATGACCCGCGACTTGTGCTGCTGCAGGTGAGCAGGAAGGGGCCTCTCCTCATCTTCATCCATCGATGTCACTCAATTGGGCACACCGCGCCAAGATCAAGCCTGCTAGAGCTTCAGAAACACACGGAAATGGTCAGATCATCTTCCGGGTCTGCGAGCTTAGCACGCAATCTGAGTCGGAAGGAAGAGGAAACCCCTGCGGCCCTCTGGCGGCGGGCGTCTATCTGTCGCCCCGACTCACTCATCGACTCTCAGTCATCTTTGTGTCGATGTTCCTGGATCTGAATGTGTGTTGGCATGCCGACAAGGCGGCTCATCTGGCGGCGGCGGCCATCTCTTTGG